GTGAGCAAAAACAAATACTGTACGCAGCAGGATTTGGGGGAATCTCTTCTTTTACCATTGTGCAGGGTATCAATGGAGTACTGTGGTTTTGTGTGTTTGTGTTAATGGGAAGATGATAAGGTTACAAACAAGAGAAAATAAAAACGTGTGTGAGGCCTTATGCTGCCTGAAGCCTGTCTGTGTGGAGAAGCACAGTCTGAAGTGTCATTTAGCAGCCTGACACTACCATGTTAGTTCTGATTGCTACCACTCTGTCTGTGCTTCAGAGATACACTCTTGGAATGAATGCTAAACTCTCTCCTCTGTCCCACGCAGTGTGCTGTGAGAGCTTTTTGTGAGCCTTTTTTTAATCTCACCAGAAACAATATAACAATCCTATTAGGTATGTTATTAACAGTTCCTGCTGAAAGGAAACAAAACATCTACTGTAATACTCTAGAAACACAAATAATAAAGAACTGAATCTCTGTTCTACTCCCCCAAGACCTCAAACCCCTCAATTTGCTCTTCCTGTGCCATTCAGCAGATTGTACTGTAGGGCTGCAATATCAGCTCTGCCCTCACGGTGTCCTGCTGAGGGCTGAGTAATGGCAGTGTTCAGGCCGCAGGCTGGCAATTTGTGTCACTCTCCCAGCGAGGGACTGTCGCGAGTGAGGGTTAATTAACGGGCCTGTGACAAATGCTAAATATCTGAAGTTACCCCTGGCATCATGCGGAAATGCTCTTTCTTCAAACTACAGTGCACTTCCCCTTGGAATAGCTCAGTGTGTATGTTCAGGGACAAGGCTTGACGTGTTGTTCTTCTGTGCCTCTTAGTCCTGCTGGGCACTACACTGAACTGCGTGCTGCTGTGTAACACCTGACCTGAGGATTCCCTTTGCACTGTAGCTGATTTTACACTATGGCGGTTTCTTGATTTACAAACCACACTACAATGAGTTCTCATCCCTCTGCCCTGTCTAGGGCTGCTAGCTGTCTGGTTTTGACACAGTCCGGTTTTAAACCCCAGCTCCGATGTTCTTCACCCATCTGGTCTCCCTCCTCCCTCCACGCCCCGAGAACTGATCCTCTGGTATTGTTGAAGGCCTCCAAATGCAGGGGAAAGCATTGCGAGAGAGCCCAAGAGAGAAGAGTGAAGAAGAGATGGAGTCGTGGAGGATCAGTACCTCTCCCTTCATTCCCACCAGAAGCAATCAAACTGGGAAGGTTTTGAGTGGGAACCTTCCTGTGCTTTGCCCACAAGGTCACATTCATTGTAAATGTTTGCTATTTTACACCAAGGTTCTGTACAAACGCAGTGAAATAATGGGACAGAAAGTGGCAGAGGTGTGAGAGAATCCATGACTATGAACTTGCTTCATCACTCTGTTCTCCTCCCCACTGAGAGCTGGTGTGTGGGGAGGGTACTGGTGCACTATGGCTGCTGTGACCTCATCCAGGTGGGGCTGCACATTGGTGGTGGTGGAGGGGATCTCCATTACCTGTAAAGTGCTTTGAGTGGAGTGTCCTGAAAGCGCTATATAAGTGTAAGGAATTATTTAGTTATGACAGGCACCATGGGAGGCCATGGTAGAGTGAATGGATGGAATAATCTGTATAAGTCAGGGTAAAAATGCCAGTGTACATTTACCATGGGAAAGCAGCTGTCAGAGGAGTTTGTCCTTCACTGATGAGGGAAAAGCCTGAGGAATGATTTGCACCATTGGGGACACAAGGAAGACGTATTGATTGTGTCTGAAGTGGGACACGGGCAGGACCGGGGGCAGGTTCGCGCTGAGCCTCAGCAGAGCGAGACCCCACGCGCTGAGAGACGTGGGCTCGGGCTGGGAGGCGGGTGGGGTCACTGGGAGCAGCCCCCACCCCCCCGTCTGGTTCTCCTCAGGCGTGAGCAGCAGGGAAGCGTTACTCCGAGGAGAGATGTGAGCATGACAGCAGCGTCATCTGCAGCAGGTTCTGTCTGCAACCTCTCTGACCCAAGAGCAGACCCGCGAAACATGTGGATCAATGTTTCCGGTGAACCGGGCTTTGAAAGAAACACAGGAAAACTCACACCGTGCCACCCCGGTTTCTCTGGCAACACTGCTGCTCTCCCTGTTGCCGTGGATACGGGGCTCCAAGGCAGGCTTGCTGTGTGACACAGAGAGGTAATACCCCTGGACTGGAAAACTGCCACCTTCTATCTGATCTAAGCACATCTCAGCAGCTGGGCTTGGTCTTTACTGGCTTGAGATAAGGATGAAACAGATTACTGCTGTAAGTGGACCAGTTTGGAAGGTGAGTCCTTCCAAAACATCTTGACCAATGCGCCAGTATTGTTGACCAAGGCAGATATCTTGTAAGTGGTTTAATCCTTTCGCTGAGACATTAAACTGAAGTGCTGGACTGCTTGGTAATTACAGACCTTGTGGCACTGTGTGAATTGACTCTGGTGTCCTGGGTAAGGTCTCTTCTGGGCTAGAATAGTGTGTCCTATCTAATGTTCCCCCTTAATTCAACTGATGAAGCAGTTTCTCCTGCACCTCATCTGCTAGCAGCGGGGCTGCTAGTGCAGGAGGTGCTCCACTGCAGTGGTAGACAGAGTCATGTAATTATAGACTTCTATATAGACAGTAAGACTTCTGTTAAATGACAGGTTATGGAAACGAGGCTTAGATCAAACTTTAATCTTAATGTTTGTAGAACGTAATCTTAAAGGCTTAAATTCAAATCCATCTCTAAGATGGCCTATGAAAAATGAAAGGGGATTTTAAGAAAAAAATCAAAAGACTGAGAGCACTCCATATGCTTCATAATAGGGCTAAGTATAAGAGGTAGGTAAAGCGTTTAAGGCACAGCTGAAATAAGCAATTAGAAATAAGGGAGACTGAAAAGAATATCACATTAAAGGTAAAACATGCAGAATATTTTTCCAGTACTACAACTGTAAAAGTGGGACAGGTTAATAATAAATGAATGCCTTCTTACAGTGCTTTATCTGTGTAAGAATTATAAAAGCAGGAAGAAACACAAGAAATTTACAAGTTAATAAGGAATTTCTAATAGAATATATTAAATAAATAGTACGCTTTATACTAAATAGCAAACCTACAGATGTTTACTAGGGAAGACATCAGTATCTCCATCATGCCCAATGTTATAAAAGTGTTCCATCCATGTTGCAGAGCACTGCCGCTTCTGTGAGTCACTCCTGTGAAATAGCTTATGGGGTTTTCTTTCTTTACTGGAGGGGTTTCCTGCCAAGCCTAGATAGAAGCTGGGAGCTGGGCACAGGCTGCCAGGCTAACCAACATCACTGTCCTGTCAAAGGAGACTTAAACAGTACCAGTCCACAATACTGAGGAACCAGCCTGCTACCAGTCCACAATACTGAGGAACCAGTCCACGGCTCTGTGGTACCAGTCCACATTACTGAGGAACCAGCCCACAGCTCTGTGGTACCAGTCCACGGTAGTGAGGAACCAGCCCACAGCTCTGTGGTACCAGTCCACAATACTGAGGAACCAGCCTGCTACCAGTTCACAATACTGAGGAACCAGTCCACGGCTCTGTGGTACCAGTCCATGGTACTGAGGAACCAGCCTGCTACCAGTCCACGATACTGAGGAACCAGCCCACAGCTCTGTGGTACCAGTCCACATTACTGAGGCACAATGCTGAGGAACTAGTACCAGACTGCAGCACCAGTCCCAGCTCTGCGGAACCAGTCTGAGTTTAATTTGCATTCTAATGAATTCCTCCATTTTTAATTTTATCAATAAATACCTGCTGCCACCATGAATATACCATGAAAGATATTGTTTAAGCTGTTTACTGTTAGCAGGGATTCACAGAATACTCTATCAAATTTGCAAATGTTTTGACAGTGATGACAAATCTGGCTGTGTCTTTCCTGAAGCGTTATTACCGTCAGCCTGTATCATTAACTTGACAGAACAGGGCTTTTATGCAGAATCTGTCTTTTGCCTTGGAATCTGAATGTAAGTTGAAGGATTTGGGGAATTCTGGTCCATATGAGAAGAAATGAAGGAGAACAGTATCTGGGAGAGGAGGAATATGACCCTGATGTTGGGAATGATTTCAAACACTGCCCTGTGTAAAATTTTATGAGAGATTTACAGAGATTGAGATCCCCACCAGGAATGAAATAGGCAGATTCTTGTCTTTAATTTCAAAGCAATAAAGTACTAAGGAAAAGCCTGAATAAAAGTGCCTCCATCTGTATTATGAGATTTTCTAGAACAATATTAAAACAGAACTTCAAATAAACTGTTTGTATTTTGTGTGAATTTAAGATTTTAATTAAAATACTCATCACCCCTTTCTGAGAATAGGAGAACACCCGTTTTCCAATAATCTTGAGATTGACACTTATTTGTTTTTCCTTTTTCGTACAAATATCTTGCTGGCTGTAAGGGATTTGGCAAATAATAAAGCCATACATCACATCTATAGGCCTTTCTACAGAATTGCCACATACATCTTTCCAGACAAGCCTCATGATTTATTTCCCAAGCGACAAGACTTGATGTTTGTATCATCCGACTGTTTTGGAATTGCAGAAATGAACTGATGGTATCTTCACACGGCAGTGATACAGTACAGGCATTAGGGCCCCATGTCTCCAGGTCAGACTGCCCTGGCAGTACAGCAGAACGCCGGGAGTGTGTTTACCCATGTGTGTCTCTCTGTTTGGCAGAAACACTCTCGTGGACAGGTCCTTCTTGACCTGGTGTGTGAGCATCTCAACCTGCTGGAGAAGGACTACTTTGGCCTGACGTTTTGCGATACTGACAGCCAAAAGGTTAGTCCTGTCTCGGGGAATACAGGCCTGGTCATTGTGAAGCCCACGGTAGGTCCTTGAGTACAAGTTCAATTCAATTCAATTCAGTTCAGTTCAATTCAAGGTGCTTTATTAGCATGACCGATTGGTGCAATCAGTGTTGCCAAAGCAAAGAAAAAATGAAATTCACATGAAACAAAAAAAATAAAAATAAAAGTAAAATAAAATCTACAGACATTTACAACAAAGACATATCATAAAATATTTACATATACTGTAGACAGATGGAGCATTATTGGGAGATAGACTCACTGTTCCTCAGGCTGTGACAGGAAATCACATACTGGGCTGCCAGTTCAACTAAGTTCCCTCCTCCCTCTCCCAGTAGGATTGGGACCCGTTGTGATTCTGGCAGGTGTGGGAACTCTGGGTTAAGATTTCTGAATTTAGGGAAGAATGTTTCTCTAATCCCAGAGTATCTGTCACAGTGCAGTAGGAAGTGCACCTCTGTCTCTATCTCTCCCCGCTGGCAGTGGGAGCACAGCCTGTCCTCTCTGGGCAGCCAGGTCTGCCTGTGTCCAGTTTCTATGGCCAGGCTGTGGTCACTGAGCCTGTCCTCTCTGGACAGCCAGGTCTGCCTGTGTCCAGTTTCTATGGCCAGGCTGTGGTCACTGAGCCTTTACTTCGTCAGGGTCTAATTCTTTTTGTTAAGTTCAAGTTCTCTCTCTAGTCCTGCAGTTTCCAGTCTTCGTCGTAGAAGAGCTCTGTGTTTTCTGGTTTTAGTTCCAGCAACGTTCTGGACGCCCCACAAACTGATTTCACTTTTGTTTCATAGTTGTGCCACTACATTTTGGTGACCATGCCTTTTTTTGTCGCTGCTCTAGTGTTGTGGAATGACCTTTCTCAGACTGTACGAGAGACAACTTCTTTCACTCTCTTCAAATCTAAACTTTAAACTTACCTTTTTATCAAGGTCTACATCTGATTTCCTACGTCTGTGAAAACCTCTATGCTCTTGTTTTTTGCTTCGTTTATTTTGATTGTACTAATCTTTTTCTTTATTCATGATGTACAGAGTCCTTGGGTGTGGAAAGGTGCTTTATAAAAACATTTTTTATTATTATTATATATTTTCTTTCAGCTCTTAAAATATTTTATGGGGTTTGTGATTGATATCGACCCTTGTGCCAATTTCTGAGGTTCAGAACTCCTGTCCACCAGGTGTGTGATCAGCAATATGAGCCCACTGGACTTGAACAGAAGGAAAAACACTTACTCAGGGCACATTTGACACACTGTCTTTCCCACCTGTGTCTATTCCTCATCAATTGATCACCTATTAAGAGCTGTGTAGCCAGGAATAAGGGATAAGGGAGCAAATTCTTATAAGGCAAGCTAGGGAGACACAGTCTTAAAGGTTTTGGAAATAACATAGGTTTACTAGAGTATTTTCATAACCAAGGCCCATGTATTGCAGAATAAAAGTCTAAACAAATAAGCTGGTCAGGTGCAGGCACCAGTCAACCCGGGTAATCAAGGGAGAGCTGGAACAAAAACCAGCAGAGGAGCTTAAGGACTGGGATTTAGAACCACTGACTTACAGCATGGTTCGTCTCTCCGGGGTCTCTGGGTGCATCTGGGTTTTCATTTCCAGCTAACCTGTCAGGTATTTAATTGAGCCCTTATTTTGAACTAACCGTAATCTGCATAGCTGGAAACCTTATCCAGTTCATAGACAGCATTGCACTTAATTTTAAGATGCGTAGTGAGAAATCACAATAGGAGATATTATGATGAAATATTTTAGTATATTAGTAACTTCCAAGTTCATAAGTAGTATACTGTAGTTCAGGGTTCAATTAAGTAAGGATATAAACCAACAGGTCTGTGACATCCTTCCTGAAAACATAGTTACAAATTTAGAATAGTAATAACAACAGGAACAGCACAAGATGAACCTCAGGAACTCTGGATTTGTCGCTACATTTACCCTACAGAGCAAATAAATGACACCAAACACCACCCACTGACCAGCTGACTGGCAACATGACCCCCGAAACAGCTGCTCTCTTCTTTTGTTCTTTTGCTGAACCTATAGTTGTTTGCTGAACACTGTAATTGTCGCTGATTCATTCCCAGTTTGCCCCTGAGTGAGACTGAGTTTAAAAGGAGTTTAATAGCCTTGTCATTCTGTCTTTATGAGTCTGCCTTCAGGCAATTATGTCCTGATTGTGTGCTGGGCTTTGGGATTTATTCCTCCTTCTCTTCAACACACTCCTACGCCACTGATCGAATAGCTCCCCTCCAGTGCTGTTACTGGGTGAAAATGTTCCTCTCGGTTAATGTTGTGATCCATTAACCGAGAGCACCCCGCTCGGTCTGTTCAGACTGGGCTGTGTGTGGGGACAAGAGCATTTTACAGACTGGGTTTATTCCAGTCACATCACCGCTGGTTTGTTGCAAACCGAATGGAATATATTCTGTATGATTGCTTAATTGGCCTGGTTTTTTGGCAGTTCATGAGCCTTATTAAACCTGATGGGCAGCAATTTGGTATTGGGGGCGAAGACAAACTTTATGCAGTGCTCTGAATCCCATTTCTGAAACACTTGTGCAATGCTGAAACAGTTCCCACCTCACTTACTCACTTAATAATCAATATTAACAATTCTTTGGCTCATTCTATTGGAGTAGATGTGTACAGGCAGATAGCAAAGTCAGATGCAAAATTAGAGAGCTGGCTGTCGGGATAACTTAAGACTGGACTTTATTAGACTATGCTTGTGATATAACATAACCACACCAAGAAATTAAAGGTGAAGGACTGAAAAGATCAGAGTATGATGACAAAAAAAAATCCCCTGTAAAGGAGTGGGATTTTCGAAAGTGAATTCAGCTCCTTGGGCAGATGGTGACCTTAACCTGTGTGCGCTTGATTGAAATGTCATTTCTGAGCTGAATGTTCGAATTGTAACTCCATATGGAGAAGGATTTATTCCATTATGGTTTCCTGAACTATGACAGACCTGTAGCAGATAACACAACAATCAGTCCTGTTATTCCCTGAAGACAGATGAGCTGGAACCCTGAATTTAAAGCAGAAGCTTTGGTGTCTAGGGTTTGAGACATTCTGTGAAGATCCGAGCACTAAAATTATGAACTGCTCTTGGCCTTTCAGACGTTAAATTGTATCAATCACATCGTTCATTGTTTCAGCTCATCAATTTATTTAGCAGGCCTGCTTACTCAGATTGGGAGGCGATTTTTCTGCAACAGTGACATCCACAGCGTACTTTCGAATTAAATCTGAAGCATATAACAAGGCTGACGATGTTTTTGCCCTCGTGTTAGGCTAGCATTTGAACTTGGGTGAGTGTTCTTCCCTGCAGTGGTAGCCGTTGTAAGGCTGTACAGTAGCAATTATCTTTAGGGGAGGATGGTCATGTGTGCTTTTGACTCGCGTGGGTTGGTGTGTATTGAGCCCAGGTGTGGTCAAGAGACCCAGCAGAGAAGGCGTGTTGGACAGGGGTGAAGGCACCTGTCTGGGCATGTCTCCTGAGCTGCTGCGCCTCTGATGCAGGAGGAGGCAGCGATGCAGATCAGACCTGCTGAGAGGAGTCTGACGGTGCAGTGTGGGGTAGTTTAACACTGCGGCTGGGCAGCAGATGCTCCAATTTGCACTCGCTGCCCCGTGCTGAAGATCACAGCAGGGCAGGCGGATTCCTTCACTCACTCAGTAAACGCAGGCAGGACAGGCTGCCACTTGGAAGCTGGAGTAGCCAGCCAGCTGAGGTATTTGAATGCAGTCTGAATGTCAGGGGCTGGCATGCCTGGGGGCTGAAACCGGTATCAATTTGAATTTGTCTTCTGTGTTTCAGAACTGGCTGGACCCCTCCAAAGAGATCAAGAAACAGATCCGCAGTGAGTGTCTTTCTTACTGGGTGTGTCGCTTGCGTTCAACCAGGCCTAACCCTGGAGAAAAGCTGCTTACAGTTGAAGTGGTTATCTTCCTATAACCATCTCTTGACACCAAGATTTAAAACAAAAACAAGAAATATCCTACTTTTACTTCCTTTGTATTGTTCCAGATAGGAAATTTGCTTTGCAGGCAGGTAGAAGACATAACACAATACATTTAACACAAGATGAACCCACTAACATATAAGAGACATACATGTGGGATAAGAAAGAAAAACACTTGTGTGAAAATAGAATCAAATATACAGTCAATTGTGCAAATTAAGGAGGTTAATAGCTGTGATAATTAAAGATAACTTAGATCTCTTGCATCTGAGTTTAAATAGTAGTTTAAATCAATGCCTAGATGGAAAGATGCCCAGAACCAAGGGGAGGTCACGCAGTCAGTGATTATATAGGCACTATCTGCGAGCTGTAGCTGTTGTGCACCAATAATTTTGCTTCGCTTCTTAGCAATAGTAATCTCTAATTGCTTTGTGCTTAATGCTGATGCTCCCTCAAACTTCCTTCTTGAAGTGGGTATTTTGTTGAAAAACCAACAAAAACAGAGCCGCAGCATGGAGACAATCAAGACTGTCAGAAGTTTTCAGTAATAGCAGTGTCAAGGTACAGAGGCCATCTTCTGTTGACCTAAATGCTCTCTTCATTTTTTATCAATGTGAAGCGGAGCTAGTTTGGGCACGGTGACGTCATCGCCCTCCCTGCGCGTAGCAGGGACCTCAGCCGCCTGGGGGTGGGGGAGGTCTCCTTTAGCTCATGCAGCTGGGTCCCTGTTGCGTTACGCCGGAGGCCCGGCTTCGCGCCCCAGGTATTGCGGGCCGAAACGGGCGGGGTGGAGCGGCGGAGGGCACGTGCCCGCGCGGAACTGTGACAGTCCCAAATGTTAAACATAATGTTGTCACCGGTACGGTGGCTCTCTGTGGGGTGCACTGTGGCTCAGGATCTGTGCCTGTGGCTGGAAGGTTGCTGGTTCGTATCCCGCAGCCGGCAGAGGAATCCTACTCTGTTGGGCCCCTGAGCAAGGCCCTCAACCCCACCTGCTCCAGGGGTGCTGTATAAAATGGCTGACCCTGCGCTCTGACCCCTAGCTTCTCTCCCTGTCTGTGTGCCTCATGGAGAGCAAGTTGGGGTATGAGAAAAGACAAATTCCTAATACAAAAAATTGTGTATGGCACAATAAAGTGATCTTATAAAGCCTAGTTTGCAAGATTGAATAGCTGTGTACCAGCGAGTGTGCAGTGAGATTCAGACACATTCCACCACTAACGCCACTGAAACAACACTTCCACAGTAAGAGAAAAAAAGTCCCTTTTTGCTTTAATGAGACTGGAAAAGCCCAACAGAACCTGACAGCCTGTCAGAAACTAGTTTTCTCAACACGCGGCCCTGCGAGCCCTTGTTGTTCTCAGCAACTGTACTCAGCTTGTATTCTTGTCTCCCCGTGTCTCCAGCTGGCCCTTGGCACTTCAACTTTGCTGTGAAGTTCTACCCCCCTGACCCCTCTCAGCTGACCGAGGACATTACCAGGTAGGCACAGGTATCATGGGCCCCCTGCTGTGCCTCTCCGTCTTCCTGCACTCTTCAGTTCCCTCTCTGACCTCCGCCTACGGGCTCTGTTCTCCTTCTGCTTGCTCTCTTCCTCCTGCCCACTCTCTCTCCTCCACACTCCCCCTCTCTGCTGTCTCAGCCTGGCCACACGCCTTCTCAGCCAGAAGCAGAGCCAAAGAGAGCTCTAGAAACTTAGCAGCCATTCTGCATCAACACATTGGAGTTTGTGCTCTGAGTATAATGTACAGCGGTGGAGGATCGGCGCCTCACTCCCAAAGCCATCTAAGGCTTAGTTAGGACTGTATCAGCGTTGTTACCACCTTGTAGCCCAATTTTGTCAGGTCTCAGAAGCTACAGAAGACTGGGCTTGGTCAGTAACAGCATGGGAGACCTCTAAGGAAAACTATGTTCCTGCTGTAAGTGGTGCTGGTAGACCAGCAGGGGGCACTTTTCTCTTTGGACCAGAATTTATGGACCAGTTCACCAACACAGGGAGGAAGGACACTGTGCTGTAAGACGTGCTATCTTACTGCTTGGTTATGAAAGGTTCATTGACACTGTAAGGCTAGGGGTGTTAACCCTGGTGCCCTGACTAGATTCCCATTCTGGGCATGAACAGCCTTGTCTCCCTTAAAGTGCTTTTCAATTTAAATTAAGGGGGGAAATTTCTCAGTTCTGCTCAGCTGGTTCAGGGGGAGATGACGTGGGTGTGTGTAAATGCTCTGGGATCCTGCGAAATGAAATGCTCCGTATAAAAATTGCAAGCCAATTTGCTTATTACCACAAAATGCTATTTTCGTAGCTCGTGTGACAGAAAGGGAGGTTTCTCATTTGATCAGCCTGTAGAGGAACTCAGAGAGACTGCTGGTTAAGGTCTATAGTCTGGAAATTCGAGGTCCTAGGCTGTGATGTTGTTATCAGCCTACTTCCTGCGTGGGGAGCAGTTTAGTCTGTGGGTATCCTCAGTTTCTCACACACACCAAAGACCCTGCTGGCTTGCAAGATCTCTGCGAGTTTTCTGTTGTTGACATGTTGTTGACATTCTGTTGTTGTATTGTTGATTGCGATGGTGTAATTTATTGTATCCTAATTTTTTTTCCTTTCTTTTCGTTAATCGAATCCCTATAAATTCCTGTCCTTCTCCTCTTCTATCCGAGCTATAATGAGCCTGCAGACAAAGCATTTCATTGCGGACAACAGCGTTGAATTATGCTGTACTGTTTGTGCATTGACAAATAAACCTTGATTGATTAATTGATTGGAGAGTTGCACCACTCGTCCATTCGATTAAGACTCTGCTGCAGGCACTGTGGGGCTCACAGCATGAGAAAAATGGCAAACGGCTCATTGGAGCGTATTTCCAAGAGAAGATGTTTGCTTCTGTAGTGATGGAGGGCTTCCAACGTTAGGCTGAGCTCGATGACAAGTCAATATTCCATACTGGGGTGTAGAAAAAGAAACAATATCAGTACTGGATTTGAAAAAATACACTTGTGGACAGGCCCTCTGAGAGCTCAGATGAGGCCCAGACCATTTCACATTGTGAGGCCTCCTCATTGTTTGGGAAGAGGGGTAAAAAATATTTTAATGTAAAGAATGGCATGATGGGAAGATTAAGGCGGGCATGTTGAAACTCCTAAAGAAGGGTAGATTTGGCACTGAAAGGGGGACGTTTTTTCACTGGTGGACTTTAGTCGAGAATCACGGTATATGGTAAAAGTACCAAATTCAAGTCGGGAAACACAGCCAAAGGGTGCAAGTGGAGGACCATGCACCCTGGGCTGAGGTGAGCTCCCCCAGTGAGGTGAGGCCTGGGCCAAATGACCTTACTGTCCCCCCTTCTCGTAGACCCTGCTTGTGGAAAGAGCTCAGATTTAAAAATGGCTTTTACAATTTGGTCCCCCTATAGTGCTGGTTATTAAGGGTTTATTGTCACTGTAAGGCTAGGGGTGTTAACCCTGGTGTCCTGACTACATACCACTCTGGGCTTGAACAGCCTCGTCTCCCTTAAAGTGCTTCCCTATAGTGTTGTTGCCCTCCCCAGTGGTCTTCATCCATCCTTCATCCACTCCTGGCCTCACCCTGCCTCTCGCCGTCCTCTCGCAGGTACTACCTGTGCCTGCAGCTGAGGGATGACATCCTGTCCGGCCGGCTGCCCTGTTCCTTTGTCACCCATGCCCTCCTGGGCTCCTACGCCGTGCAGGCCGAGCTGGGGGACTACGACCCAGAGGAGCACGGCACCGACTACGCCAGCGAGTTTCGCTTCGCCCCCAACCAGACCCGCGAGCTGGAGGAGCGGGTCATGGAGCTGCACCGCAACTATCGGTACCATCGCTAGGGCCGGGGGAAGGTGATGGCCCTGCGTTCAGGGGGCTCGTCCGGCCGCAGGTTCTGGGTTTCGGAAAAAGTGGTTTAGCGCTTTTAAGAAGGAGGTTAGAATTAGGGTGACCGTGGTTAGTATTGCTGCCTCGCGGGGCTGGGGTCGTGGGTTCGAATCCAGGGTTTGTGTGTATGTGCTATCTGTGTGGAGTTGGTATGTTCTATATTTCTTCTGGGTGTTCTCGTCTACTCCCAAAGAAAAATGCAAAAGAAAGTCAAAAAGGCATGCTGGTACGTTAACGGCCTTCTGTCAAACCGGCCCTGGTGTGGGTGTGTGTGTGTGGATGTGTGTGTGTCTGAGTGTGCCCTGTGATGGACTGGCATCCCATCCAGGGTGTAACCTGCCTTTCGCCTGCTGTTTGCCAGGAGAGGCTTTGGCTCCACCTCAGCCTTGTATTGGATAAAGCAATTAGAAAATGGATAGATGAGGGTTAAAGGTTCTGCTTTATTTGCCTTATATAAACTTTTCTGAATGATGAACCCTCAAAATACAGACTGGGAGCCCTTACAGGTTTGTAGTATAGTGAAATACGTCATTGTGTTACTCATCCAGGACAAGTGGCAGTTCATGAGAGCCTTGGTTTTTTGCACTAAATGAGTACAGGATACAACAGTGAGACAATATGAGTAACTGAAATGAATCCGAGCATGTTCTTTTTAAGAACATAAAAACATACAGTGGTGTGAAAAAGTGTTTTCCTGATTTCTTATTTTTTTGCATGTTTGTCACATTGAAATGTTTCAGATCATCAAACAAATTGAAATATTAGACAAAGATAACAGAAGTAAACACAAAATGCAGTTTTTAAATGAAGGTTTTTATTATTAAGGGAAAAAAAATCCAAACCTACATGGCCCTGTGTGAAAAAGTGATTGCCCCCTAAACCTAATAACTGGTTGGGCCACCCTTAGCAGCAACAACTGCAATCAAGCGTTTGCGATAACTGGTAATGAGTCTTTTACAGCGCTGTGGAGGAATTTTGGCCCACTCGTCTTTGCAGAATTGTTGTAATTCATCCACATTGGAGGGTTTTCGCGCCTTAACCGCTTTTTTAAGGTCATGCCACAACATCTCAATTGGATTCAGGTCAGGACTTTGACTAGGTCACTCCAAAGTCTTCATTTTGTTTTTCTTAAGCCATTCAGAGGTGGATTTGCTGGTGTGTTTTGGATCATTGTCCTGCTGCAGAACCCAAGTGCGCTTCAGCTTGAGGTCACGAACAGATGGCCGGACATTCTCCTTCAGGATTTTTTGGTAGACAGCAGAATTCATGGTTCCATTTACCACAGCAAGTCTTCCAGGTCCTGAAGCAGCAAAACAGCCCCAGACTATCACACTACCACCACCATATTTTACTGTTTGTATGATGTTCCTTTTCTGAAATGCTGTGTTACTTTTACGCCAGATGTAATGGGACACACACCTTCCAAAAAGTTCAACTTTTGTCTCATCAGTCCACAGAGTATTTTCCCAAAAGTCTTGGGGATCATCAAAATGTTTTCTGGCAAAGCTGAGATGAGCCTTTATATTCTTTTTGCTCAGCAGTGGTTTCTGTCTTGGAACTCTGCTCTGCAGGCCATTTTTGCCCAGTCTCTTTCTTATGGTGGAGTCATGAACACTGACCATAACTGAGGTAAGTGAGGCCTGCAGTTCTTTGGATGTTTTTGTGGGGTTTTTTGTGACCTCTTGGATGAGTCGTCGCTGCGCTCTTGGGGTAATTGTGGTCGGCCGGCCACTCCTGGGAAGGTTCACCACTGTTCCATGTTTTCGCCATTTGTGGATAATGGGCTCTCACTGTGGTTCGCTGGAGTCCCAAGGCTTTAGAAATGGCTTTATAACCTTTTCCAGACTGGTAAAATCTCAATTATTCTGTTTCTCATTTGTTCCTGAATTTGTTTGGATCACAGCATGATGTCTAGCTTTTGAGGATCTTTTGGTCTACTTCACTTTGTCAGGCAGGTCCTATTTAAGTGATTTCTTGATTGAGAACAGGTGTGGCAGTAATCAGGCCTGGGTGTGGCTAGAGAAATTTAACTCAGCTTTCCAAAGATGTGATAAACCACAGCTGATTTATGTTTTAACAGGGAGGGGGCAATCACTTTTTCACACAGGGCCATGTAGGTTTGGATTTTTTTTCCCTTAATAAAAACCTTCATTTAAAAACTGCATTTTGTGTTTACTTGCGTTATCTTTGTCTAATATTTCAATTTGTTTGATGATCTGAAACATTTCAGTGTGACAAACATGCAAAAAAATAAGAAATCAGGAAGGGGGCAAACACTTTTTCACACCACAGTAGTAATGACAGCAAACGAGAAGATGTTACTTGGTCAGTCTGGCTTGTCCAGCTGTTGGCAGGTTATAGGCCTTGTGATGTCATCCAATTATTTCTTGATATATCCCTGGGACTTCAACATTACTGTGTTAGATGGCAGGGGTAAGAGGCAGGACAGGATCTGCATTGCAGCTGCAGAGAGAGTCTGCAGTCTCTACTGTGTTTTCACCTCTGCATGTGGCTTTACTCAGACTCACTCAGACGTGGAGAAACTTGTATTCTAGGGTGCTTTCAATCCGTGCTTTAAATTCTGTTTATGGATCAATCCGTATGATTTTGGCCCAAGTCCAAAGTTGAAATTAGTTTATTTGTGGGCCCCTATACTGAAGAGAAGTCACATCCAGTCCGCCTCTGATAGCGAGGAGCTCCTTTTAATACATTCTCACTTCAGACATCTTTAGTCACATTTTAAAGATGAGATTTCAGTGATTGATTTAAAGCACAGGGTTGAGAACCTGCTCGGACAAATTCTATTGCTCAATCCAGTTGGCACGTAGGTCCTTGTATAACCTGTTTTTTTTATTCTTAATGAGAATTCTGTTTTCTAGAGGAGTTGTCTTACTTGTGCTGTGATTGTTGTTGTGTCCAGGGGCATGATACCTGCTGAAGCTGAAATCAACTTCCTGGAGAACGCTAAGAAGCTGTCCATGTATGGGGTAGACCTGCACCATGCCAAGGTAAGCATCCTGGTCACGTTCAAGAGTCCGAGCTTCCCATCAACCACTGCGGCCCAGTACCTGCTGGAGCTGTGCTCCCTCTGGACATCCTGATTTCTGATCCCAGACCAGTCTGTTCCTGCCCTCTCTGTGACTGTAAAGGAGTGAATTAGGCCATCCAATGTCCAAACAGCAAATTACCAAGACCTTGGTGTTAATATTGCAAATAGACGCATGCTACACTTTCTCCCTCTTTCTTCTCTTGCTGATTTTATCCCTTTGTTGTCCTCCTCTTCTGCTTCTCCTCATTTAACAACTCCCCACGCACACTTCAACACCCCGCCCACTCGCTCTCTCTGTCTCTCCCATGGGCAGGACTCCGAAGGCATCGACATCATGCTGGGAGTGTGTGCCAACGGGCTGCTCATTTACCGCGATCGCCTGCGGATCAACCGTTTTGCCTGGCCCAAGATCCTGAAGATCTCCTACAAGAGGAGCAACTTCTACATCAAGATCCGGCCAGGCGAGGCAAGCCCTGGGACCACACCGGCACCGCGCACAGTCACCGCCTCTCCCCGCGTTGAGATTATATCTCTGAAGAGCCATGCTCTGGCATGGTCCAGCTGTCCAAGAGCAATGTGACCTTTGAGGGAATGGGTCTTGCTCCTGACAGTACTCGGACTTCAGATGTCAGCATCATAGCTGCACTGTTTAGTGTAGCCTCAGCTACAGCCTGTTGACTCAGGACACATTGGAGAGTGAGAATGGGAGACCATCCTGACGAAATGAATAGGAACTGTGCAGTCATAGACGACTGTTAATCAAGCAGTGAATTCACTTTAGTCTTGGGATAAAGCAGGGATTTGCAAGGGGGAATGGAAGTTTTGGATCTATGTCTCCTTGTATGAGACGACAAAAGGGAAGTGTAGAATACAAAAAAGTTTGGATGGTGTTGTAGTTGTCCTCCTGTGATGGCTGCCCTGAAATCCTGGCCTACTTTAATACCTCCTCTCAGCATGCCACACCTTGGCTGCAGTGATATATAGTAGGAAGGACGCAGTGGAAGTGGGGTGTGGTGTCTCCCAGGACTGCTCCCGCAGGAAGGTCTACAATGGGAGAGGAGACTAGGATCTCTGGCTCTTCCAGAGCTCCATGCGGTATCTTGCTGCAGTGTGTTTTATTCTACCAAGGGTGGCCTCGTTCCTTCAGCTCAGGCAAGTCACAAAGGCCTGTGAAAAGAGTCAGGACCACAGCATAAAGAGGTGCTTTTTCCAGGTCTGGGGCAGCTGCCAGCATTCTTGTCACGTAGCCGAGTTTCAATTGTGATCATGAGATGCTGAATAGGAATGTGTGCTAGGAAATACCAAAGCAGTTAAGACTTACACAGCACCGGGGCGAGGGGATCCGTTTTCTTGTTAGTTAAATGGTTGTTTGTTAGTTTTCCTTTTTGCCTGTTTCGCTGGTGCTGGCCATGAACCCCACTCTTTCTCCCAGATGCGCTGGTAGATGATAGCTCAGGGGGCTAGCTCACAGCTTGTACTTCAGCGGGTTGCTCCAGAGCTCAGAGCGTTCTGCCCAAGGCCAGCAATAAATAATTGTGAGCTCTGTGTCTCCTGCAGAGTGAAAAAAGTCTAGTAAGCGCACTTTCAGACTTCTTGGCAAGCAATAGCTAAGAAAGAACTCTCTGGGCTCCGTGACAATTTCAGTATGAGTATTATGCAGCAGGTCAATTAAAAAAAAATAAAAATGAATATATCCCTGTACAAGTCTGGTGTCACAAGTTTATTATTATTTTAGCAGTTTATTAATGTATTTGGAAGACCTCTCTTTGTCCTTCCATAAAGATTACACCTTACTTGCAGTATCCTTACTGTGGTGCTTAGAGCCAGAGTGTGAGTGCTATTATCCTGTTGTCTGACTGCCCTTCTCCTTCCCCAGTACGAACAGTTTGAGAGCACCATTGGCTTCAAGCTGCCAAACCACCGAGCTGCCAAGCGCTTGTGGAAGGTCTGCATCGAGCACCACACCTTCTTCAGGTACACACCCTGCGTCTGAACCCCTGAAGGGGCAGCCTGTCTCCAGCAGGCGACTGGGAAACTGGCACCGCAGTTCCAGAGATTCTGCCTTCATTAGTCAGTCCTGAGTCAAGGGCAGAGAGTTTCCCGATTCTCATAATCCTCTTTCTGCCTGCCTGCTTCTGTTCACACAGCAAAGTGTACAACTTTTGGACTGTGATGCGGCTAAGCATAGCACCGTTCCTGACCTTTAACTTATTGGATGTGCTCATGTAGGACACAGGAGGAGTTGAGCTCCAGGTCTGGGTGCTGTCTGTCCAGTCTGGATTGTCTGGTGGCAGTTTGTAATCTTGCTATCACAGAGGGGGGCTGCTAGCTCTGCGATGGCGTTTTTTTCACAGTGCACTCCCAGGTTAGCTCCAGATCGTGTCAGGCTCACAGACCCCGTAGTTTGGCAGGGAGCAGATCTTTATAAACAGTTAACTTGGAATTTAATATATTTTATATTATATCTGTGTAATAATCTGAACCCTGTCTTAATAATAATTCCTTACATTTATATAGCGCTCATCGTCTATAATGTCTCATCCAAAGGACGGCACCTTTTGTATAGTGTCCCCGTCACTATACTGGGGCATTAGGACCCACACAGACTGCAGGGTGAGCGCCCCCTGCTGGCCCCACTAACACCTCTTCCAGTAGCAACCTTAGTTTTCCCCAGGAGGTCTCCCATCCAGGTACTGATCAGGCTCACTCTGCTGAGCTCCAGTTGGGCTGCCAGTTGTGAGTTGCAGGGTGATATGGCTGCTGGTATATCACTAGCCACCATATCACCGGGTCTTGAGTTTCCATGTGGTTCACTTTTAAACAGACAGTCCATCCCTGATGGATCTGGTGGGCTGTGTCGATGATCTGCATGACCCCGCAGGAAGGTTGATCTGAGGTGGTTTTTCTTCCATGTTTCCACGGATCTCCTGCAGGTTGGTGTCCCCCGAGCCCCCTCCCAAGGGTTTCCTGGTGATGGGCTCCAAGTTCCGCTACAGTGGGCGGACGCAGGCACAGACCCGGCAGGCCAGTGCCTTAATTGACCGCCCAGCGCCTCACTTCGAGCGCTCGGCGAGCAAGAGGTACCTGCTGTCGCGCAGCATGGACGGAGGTGGGTACAGCGTAGGTGTCACTGCCACACACTCTCCGGGTCTGTCAACCCACGCCCCCCCCGACTTCAGCTGGCTTCTGAATGCACGAGACCCTGCTGGGTGTGTCATTCCGGGAGCTTTAAAAATAGGCAGGACCAGGACCACAGACACATCAATGCACAGCTGTGAGCTTCACAACTAGTGCTCTTAGGTTTACAGTGAGGGAAACCAAAAATTGACCCGACACCAGAACAAAAGCCTAGCTCTTCGCTGAGCTGTCAACTAACTTCTTCAGCCCCTGACTGTGGCAGCTGGGCAGCTAAGCTGCTTACCAGCCTGAAAACAATTGACCTTTAGTCTCTTCCTAAGACTTTACAGAAAAACCCAAGTCTGTCTCTGAGACTCTTCACAAGTAACCCAAGTCTCTCCCTGAGACGTGAAACAAATGCTCTCAGGGAAGACTCAGTAATAATAATAGTTGCTTACACTTATATAGCGCTTTTCTGGACACTCCACTCAAAGCGCTTTACAGGTAATGGGGATCCCCTCCACCAGTGTGCAGCCCCACCTGGATGATGCAACGGCAGCCATAGTGCGCCAGAACGCTCACCACACATCAGCTATCAGTGGGGAGGAGAACAGAGTAATGAAGCCAATTCATAGATAGGAATTATTAGGAGGCCATGATTGGTAAGAGCCAATGGGAAATTTGGCCAGGACGACGGGGTTACACCCCCTCAACTCAGCTTTCTCAGACTTAATCACAAGTTCCCTGGTTCCACGGTCCTTTGCTTTCTGCTTTTTAAACACTCACCTGACCAACTGTCTCCCTACGAGGTAACATAGAGCAGCAGCAGCCCATTCTGCAAAGGTTTCTGGGAAATGTGGTCCAGACGAAGCTGCCATCTTGTCTGAACTGTCTGTGCGCTTACAAGTAATAAAGGAAATGGAGAGCAGGGCTTCCTAAACACATTCAGCAGGATGTTCCCTTTCTTAAAGCAATAGAGTCACCTGTCACCAGGACATCTGATTGATTGATGAAATGGCCATGGGGTCTTTAATGACTTAGTTGTCAGCTTTAACTTCTCATCTTAAGGTGGCACCTCCTACTGTACAGTGTTCTTAGTCTCCTTGCTTGGGCACTGGTTTGGATGTTATGTAGACCAGAGGGAAGAGCTGATGGCATCAGGTAGTAACACTGCTGGTATAAAAGCACACCATGAATGATAAAATGCCAGCTCTGATAGGTAACAGACTGATTGATCTAATTGAACACACTCATTTGATTTGCGCTAATACAAGCAAACGTAGCAAGTGAGTCAGTGTTGACTTGATCTGTGGAAAGCTGAAAGGAGCTATTTGGCAAGAGACATTGCTGCAGAGCCTTAGAACACTATGCACTGATTACCTCACAGTGGTTAATCAGCGGGGGGCAATATTACTGAGTAAACAGCAAAGAATCTGCTCAAGCTGCGTCCATTTTCTGCTTTTCTGTTCTTACTTGGACCTAGCTCTATTGTATTACTAAAGTTACAATATATTTTTGTTATTTTTGATATTATACTCTTAGTCAGCCTCACCTCCACAATATAGCCCATCCTGCCCTGCCAACTCGTGCCCCACCCTACCTACCCTTGCCCCACTCTGCCAACTCCTAACCTGTCCCACCTTGTCTTGCCAACACCTGAACTGTCCCTCCCTGCCACTCCTGCCCCACCCTACCAACCCCTGCCCTGCTAACTCCTGACCTGCCCCACCCTGCCCTGCTAACTCCTGACCTGCCCCACCCTGCCCTGCTAACTCCTGACCTGCCCCACCCTGCCCTGCCAACTCCTGACCTGCCCGTGACGTCTCCCACCCTGTGTCTTCTCCTTCTTCTGTCCTGCCTTCCCATGACCCACCCTGCCCTCTCGCATCCTGGCCCAGACCCCCCCGCCCCCCCACCCTCTCCTGTGTCTCTGTGTCTTCCTCTTGGCATCTCTGACCTGCAGATTTCCTCTGCCCAGCCTCCGCCCTCGACGAGAACCACGACGGCGTGTCTCAGCGCAGCGCCAGTGAGCGCCAGCGCCGCCGCTCAGAGGACGAACAGGAGGGCGTCACCACCCCCACCAAGATCAAGGAGCTGAAGGTAAAGCAAAGCCTGCTGTCCTCACAGGCACAGGGGGGCATGAGCTGGACTGGGTGGGGGGTTGCAGGTTTCAGACCCAGGTGCCTGAGTCAGAGCAGTGCTGTACCACGGGTCTGTGTTCACTGGATTAAAGGCATATGGCCTCTCCTTGTTTCTGAAACTATAATGCAAGTGATGGATGACATCGTCCACTACAGCTTGTAAACCTGAAGCAACATGTAAGAGACATGCAAAGTGCAGATGAGATTGAGCTTCAAATCGCTGATGCTTTCCTCTCCCTTTCGCCCCTCTAAGAAGCACAGTCCCTCCTGTTTGCCTCCTATAGCAGACCTGCTGCAGAGCTCAGCTATTTGGAGGTGAATCAAGGTCTTCAGCTTTGTACTGCCTGCTCATCACCACACGAACTCTGCTGTGTGTTTCTTCCTTTCTGTCGCTGTGATGTCAGAAGGAAGAGTCATCCAATTTCATGATCGAACAGGAGGTACTTCTGTCTTTAACATCCGCCCATCCCAATGTCACCTTTTGTGGGGGTTAATCAGCCACAGTACCCCCTGCCAGGCTGTTTCTTTGGTTCCTTGTGCTCCCATGATCTGAGGTTAACCAAACTCCCTGTGTGCCTTCCCAAGGAATCAGACCTGTCTCTGAGACCTTTTAATCCACCTAAAACCTTTTCTTCTTATTCCAACCACGCACGTACCAGAAGTCAACACATCTACTTCCTGACCTCAAGCTGGAGTTACTTGAAGTGTGTCTATCTCATTGTAAAAAACATTTTGCTCTGGAGAACTAAAGACATATTTTGCTGTCTGTGCAGTCTTGACGGGTCTCACATTGCACATCTTAAGGATAAAGCAGGAACTCTGAATTTGGCTTTTCTGTGCCACCAAGAGCTGACCTTGTTTTTCCAAAACCCTTAAGCATGAGATATAACGCACTAACCAGGATGGGAAACACACTTGCAGGTTATCATACAAACAGGTATCAGTGATGTTTTCCAGAGTGATCTGGGGGCATTGAGCGTTCAGAAAAGCTCCGGGTGCGTAGTGTGGGAAAAGCACAGTCGGTAGCAGCTGCCTCTCTGGATGAGAAGAATGAGGAACAGGAAGCAGCCGGAGTGGGTGGCAGGATTCTCTCAGCTCTCGGTGGATGAACGGCACTGAGGCGGTATTTGAATGATTCTGCTTTGAAGAGCTGATGAGTTATTAGTCATGATGTGCTGTGGAATACCGTTTCTTCCATAATAAAGTGATTTAGAAATGTGCATTTTCTTCAACGCTAGTTATCATCCTTTATTTTAGCCTTACGTTTTTTCACGTTATGTTTCTGTTTCCTTAAGGGTGGAGAGCGGCAAAGATCATGTTCCAATTGGGGGGTGTCTCCTCTTAGACCCCCCCATAGTGTTCCCCATATTGTCCCAGTCCATTTTGTGTCTCTCAGTGAATTTTCCTAAAGTCTTTCCCAACAATTGCCTCTGAAGCTTAGGACTTGTCCTGTCATGCTCATTTAATAGAACTATTCCAACCAAAGCTGGTGCCCTGGTTGAGGAATAGTTGAGGATGTAGACCATTGTCAGACAGGCTTCAGTATTACAGTATTACTAACAAATTATTCAATAAATAAATATTTCTAAAACTACAGTTATTTAATATTAGTTTAGTAAGACTTTACCAGAAGGACTCAGTGTATAGTGTCACATTAATGAGCTTCCCCTGTATGCAGTATTAATGGCCATTTGGTTGACAAAAGTGGTAGACTGTGGTTCTCAGTCCTGGTCCTGAACTACTCCCATGCCTGCTGGTTTTTTTTCCAACTGTTCCCTTAATCGCAGGTGCTAATTGCTGCCAGTAATTGACCGGCTTGTTTGATTAGGCTTTGTTCTGCACTTAGGCACTTAGGTTTCGAAAATACCGTAGTACAGTGGTTCTCAGTCTTGAACTTGAGTTGCCCCTGTGTCTTCAGGTTTTTGCTCCAGCTGTGTTTTAATCACAGGCTAATTGACTTCATTTTTTTCTATTTGAGGCTTTTCAGCTCTTGAAAAACATTAATGAGGTTTGTAATCGGTATAGACCTTGCGATAATGCAGTGAATTTCACACTCATTCAGGTGGGTGTGCTGAAGTATAACCAGCGGGAGGTGAGAGGTTGGGATGACTGCATATCAGACATTTCTGTGTCCTCAACTGACCACCTTTTAAGAGCTGTTTAGAAAGTTCAGGAGAGGTTTCATAAAATCCCATGTTCTAAATGTGTCAGAAATAATGCACTATAAAAGTGGGGGCATTTTGGAAACATAGGACTGAGTACTGCCTGAAAAAGTACTCAGAAAAGAGTATAAACCAGCAAGCTGAACAGTCACAGGCACCAAGAAGCGCTGATTTGCTCCAAGACCAGAATGGAGAACCTCTGTATTTAGACACATAGTGAAGCAGACATACAGTAGACACAGAAGAAGAAGCAGAAGATACTGCATGAAAAGTGTGTTCAGATTCCCAGCGACCATTTTACTGCTGTCTGTAGAGTCTGTTGTTTTCTCTGGATTGGTTTGTTACTGGGGTTAATCAGAAAACAGCACTTATGCACTTATTAATCAGAAAACAGCACTTATGCTTTGAAGAGTTGATGAATTCAAGTAGCAGAACAAGTATGCAAAAAGTAATAAGTAAATGCTGAAAAGCAGATGACAGCCTGCACCCTGTGGATAAGCAGATGTTAGAATCGTGGGGCCTGCATAATTAAACTGCAGTTAGAAAAACGAATCCACGCGAATTGTCTGTTCTAGGAGATTATCTTTGGAGAGATCACACCATTCCTCCCTGCTGGAATGTGTGCGTCCCTGCCTAGCCACACAGCTGACGGAGAAGAAGCAGAAAGCTGTTTTTGAAAAGCTTTCCTCTGCTGTGCTTAATTAGGCCCAATATCTTGATAAAAGGGAGACAGCCCTTTTCGTTTCATGGAAATTAAAGCCCGTGCCTAAGAAGGCAAGGGAGTGATATATCGGCTTTCTTGGAATTGCTGTACTGACAGAAAAGGCAACGGGACGTCTGAGCTTGTTTAAACCAGTCTGTCGACAGTAGTCTTAGCATGTTTTTATTACACCTGGCCTCACTGCTTTTTTTAATCCTGCTCCAGGAAGAAAGAATCTAGCTGTTTCCTTTCGTACATTTTTTTCACTAAACTGCTTTCTCTCTTTAACTTTTCGCTGTCAGGAGGACGCGGAGTCTCCAGCTGACAATAAGCAGGAGGTATCTTGTAGATGGTGGCCAGTGTCTGTCTGTCTGTCTGTCTCGCTGTCCTCAGCGCTGTCTTTGTGCTGTTTTGGATCATTTCATTACAGTTCAGCTTATATTACAATTTAGAAAAGTCTTTTTGTACCAATGGGTTCCAAAGACCCTCTTATTCTTTTGCCACAGCTGAACTGCACACATTCTTCTGTGGAATGGAGACCAGTCCAATGTTTCTGAAGCTGTAAATGTCATTCAATATTGTGATGCAGCCTTAGGCATCAGTCTGTGTGTGTGTGTGTGTGTAAATAGAACTGTGATCCAGCCAGTGTGTCTGTCTGGTCTCCGTGTCTGAGTATTTCCAGGCTGAATGGCATGCCTGAGCTGACCTGTACTGTACTGTACTGTACTGTACTGTACTGTCTGTCTGTCTGTCTGTCTGGCTGCTTCCTGACTCAACCTCTGTGATTTCCCTCTCTGTCTCTGCACTCCCCTTTCACCACCTCAGTCGGATCAGGAGTCAACCCCTCGCCACAAACAGGAGGTATTTTTGTTACTCCTCTGTGCACAGACTGTGAAGTACTGTTCCTTTGTTTGAACCTGCAGACTGTATTCCATCCACACAAGTGACTCCCACTGTTCTGTCATTGCAGTAATGAATATGTGAGACTCTGGCATGGCTGTCTGACCCCCCTGCTCTTGTCTATAGTGACTTTATTTGGTTATTCCCGGTGCCTGTGGAGATGAGTGGGTTGAAAAAACTTCCACTACCATTCCTTCCAAAGCCTTTAGCTGTGGAACAGTAAAGACCAGGCTCACAAGATGCTATTTAACAATGCCTAATTCAGTGGCTCAGCTTGACTTTCACAGTAATTTACATCAGTGGGAGGAAGTTAAATAAAAATCTAGTAGGTTGATAAAGAAATCAATGAAATGACCTCTGAATGAGTGGTAGGTGGATTTTGAAGTAATTTCTTTACCAGCTGTCGGGGACAATTGTAGCCCTGCAAATTCTGTCGGGGTTTCCATGCTGTCCAGCCCTTAATCTGGAAAGTCAAGTTCAAGTTCATGTTTATTTGTCATTCCAGCCATATAGAAGTATACAGTGGAGCGCAATATCGTTCCTCCTCATTCACAGTGCAAATACAGCCAGGATAGACAGGACACTGACATAGACATTTATTAAAGTTTAGATTTATTAAACTTTTAAAGATTAAAGTCTCTGATTGTATGGAGGTGTCGCCCATCACAAGTCAACGCTTCCATTCCGATTAAATGGAAGAGTCAGACAAGAGCATTGTGTGGTTGGTGGCAATCCATTTTTCATGGACGTGAATGTCGTTTGCTTTTGCTGCCTGATGCAGACCGGCCCTCATGGTGGATTTCTCCCCCCCCCCCCCCCCCCAACTCTCTCTCTCCCGGGGGCAGTTCCTGGACAAGTCCGAGGACATCCTCCTGAAGCACCAGGCCAGCATCAACGAGCTGAAGAGGGCCCTGAGGGAGCCCAACAGCAAGCTGGTGCACAGGGAGAAGCGACTGTCGGGCACCTCCCCAGGAGGCACACCAGAGAAGAAGGCTGTGAGTAGGGGTTTCGGGTTCGAGCCCATCGGCTTCCTAGGCCGCAGCTGCATTACGCCCCAGGCTTCTGTTGCGGGGGCTTGCGTGCTGAGCTGATGCCTCTCCTTTCGGGAGGGGTGTTGGTATGTGGTACTGACTCAACAGGGTCACAGGAGGTCATCCATCTCCTGTAAAAAGAACCCGTCATGTCAAATCTGGAGGAGACTGCTTTGGAGTTCATTGTACTAAGCAGGATCTTGATTTTCGCTCATTCTGTATTTACCAGCAATTGAAATTGTTCTGTGCGCTGAACGTGTATTGCTATGAGAGTTCAGAAAGTGTTTAGTCCTGAATACAGGGACGTGTGTGTGGGCGCATCAGTGCTGTCGAGTTTTAGTCTTGTTCCTTGTATTTGATGGCGTTTCAGGCTTTGCAAATATCACAAGTAAGGGAAGATGAGGGCAAAGGGCATGTTTCAGTCACAGTCTCTCGAAGAAAGTCTTTGGTTTTATTTATTATACAGTTTCGAATTTTATTATTTCGAATATACAGTTGAATTAATTGGAGGGTTGTTCAATGCTCAGATAAATACAGCGAGGTGATTGGGAGTTTTTGAAAGTGGTTAGAGGATAATTGTAATTGGCTGGGTGAGTCCCAAGGCACTTGAAACATGCAGTGTGAAACCTGAAGGCAGAACACAGACACAGTGGAGAAGCAGGAATCCAGCAGGATGAAACCAGTGTGACAGAGACCAGCACACCAGCACACCAGCAGCATTCTGATCAGCAACAGAGAAAGGTGCTGCTTAGGGTGAAGCTTCAGGTGGGAGAATAACGGGATGGAAGAGAAAACATCAGTTTTGAGCTGATACGGTAGCAAAATGCAAAACAGCAGGTCCTCATCATAAAAGATCTGCAGCAGAAGTGTAGCAATGCTTATTTAATTAAAAAATCAGTATGTTAAAACAGTGGTAAACAATTACAGTTTTAATGTTAGGCATGATTTTGTTAAATTTCATTTTGTTTTGTTACAAGATAAGTAATAAATCTTGTTACCTTAGTAGTATGGATTGCTTACTTTCAATAAGTATAATTCTTATATTTTTATCAAGTAGATTCTTGCTCACAAGGATTTGCTCAATCCATGTGTCAGTCCAACAGTGTGTCTACTTTTACCTGTTTCATTTTGTGCAGATATGAAGTGGCAGCTGAAATGTTTTCTGACACACTGAGCTTTGTCAATACGGTGCAGTTTTTTAGTTATTCTGTAATAGACGAGACACCCTTGTTCATCTGATGTCTGAAACGATAAGGGTATCCGTTGCTTCTTTGAAGTTAGAGGCAGAGAATCAAATCTGTCTTGTTCCTGCAGCTGAAGTAGATCTTATCTTCCTAATCGAATACTGACAAGACTTTGCAGACGCATCAGATAATGTGTAGTGAGAGGGTCTGTGCAGTCCTACACAATAGCAAAAGGGCATTACATGTGGTAGGTACAGGGAGTGGACATAAAATGGAAACACCCAGGTACAAGGCACACCAAGTATATTAAAAACAAGAGCTTCCACACAGGAGTGGCTTGTGTTAATTAAGCAAGATCCCAGCTTACTCAGGGTCATATATGAATATGCTGGACAGATCTGGTTGCTTATAATTATTGGTTGCATGGCTGCAAGAGAAGACCTCAAAGGGGAGATTGTTAGGATGTTTCAGTGACCAAGGCAGCTCAACTTACTGATGTGTGTTAAGGTGATGTCAGTACAGAACTCCAAAGGAAAGATCTCATCAGCGTAGGACTATAGTGGGTGGAAGTATGTGCTTGGAATCATGATATCTGTGCATTAATTCAAACTACAAGGCAAAACAGGCGAGCAACTGCAGATCAGTTGACTGCAGATTCCAACCTGTGGCATGAGCAGCCGGTTTCAGCAAAATGGTCTGTGGAGAGCTCCACACAGCAGGATCCCCTGGTCAGGTGTCAGTGCACAAACCACTCATCACACCTGGAAGAGCACATTTGCAAGTCCAGTGATGCAAAGAGCACAGGAAAGGGGTGAGATGAATTATTTTTTGACCATGATCTCTACAGAGTGTATGTGTGGTGCCAGCCTAAAGACTTCTGCAGCCCCGAGCTCTTGGTTCCAACAGTGAAGGGTTCTGGTTATTCTGTAATGTTGTGGGGTGAATTCCCCTGGCATGGTGCACTTATTCTCCTAAATGTTTGGGACAATGCTTAACGGTGCTTAATGGTACAGAGTGATCATATTCAACCCACGTTGAAGTATTCCTTTCCTGGCGGGAGGAGTATCTACCAGGATGACAATGCTGCCATCCACTGTGGTTGACCAGTGGTTTCTTGAGCCTGATGTTATCCATGTGTCATGAGCTTCTCAGTGTCCAGACTGGAACCCAGTTGAACATGTATGGGATATTCTGGAATGACACCTGAGATGGTGTTTTCTGGTGGAAGAATGGTTCTGCATCCCTCCTGCAGAATTCCAGCCACTGACAGATTTTATACCAGTGTATACGCTGTACTGGCCAGACACGGTAGCTCGACGGCCTGTTAATTGACATGACTGTGGTGTTTCCAGTTTTTGTTCATTATCAACATTTTGAAAGTGCTGTAATGGAAATGACAGTGGTTTTTATGAAAAGCGAATGGGATGATAGAGAAAGAATGCAGTGGCCAGAGATCCATATTTTGAACTTTCTGAAGTTTTCTTGCGAACTCATTTATGTCACGTTGTGACAGAATGGCCCCAGCCCAACCAGGTGAGCTCAATACAGACGTGTAGATAATTACTTCCCACATTACTCACTCATTTGTATTAGTCCCACTCACATTGACACTAATTACTGTCAAATTTCCCCTCAGCATTCTCTCACTTTCGCACTGTTTTTTTGTATTCACACTCATGTTACTCTTTCAGTAATCAGTAACTCAGTCTTCAGATGGTTGTGGTGGTTGTGGTTGTGTACTCACCCCTGCCAAGAGCCTTCTCTGGACCAGTGTCTCCTGGTCTCTGGTCTCACAATCGCACTCCCTTTACCCAATGTTCTCTTTTCACACAAGAATATTTCATCTTTTTTCTCTCACAATAACGTTTTCTCGGATGGTCTGCATGTACCCAATCTGGGGCAAGGCCTTTCTCTGTCCCTGCAGTGGAGAGACACCAGTCTTCACTCAGGACCAGCAGACTGAGAAGCTGGACAGGCAACCCCACCAGAGCTGGGAGAATACTGGCTGTGTCTCCTGCTCCCTGGCTTCTTCAACTCACTTTAATACAACTCTCTCACACAACAATAACACCAGTCCCTGTACAAGCGTACCCCACACTTTATACAACAACTCTCTCATACAACCATAACACCAGTCCCTATACAAGCGTACTCCACACTTTATACAAC